CGGCCGCGCCGGCTGCTCTGCCGCGCTGAGCTGGGCCGGGGCTGGCCGCAGGCCGGGGGTGGGCCTGCGCTGCGGCGTGTCCCGGTGACTTTCCCCTTCGCTGGAGCGCTGTACGGCGTGCTCGTGTCGGTGGGAAGATAGAGGAGCAGGCTGTTTTATCTTGGCCTCGTTACTGCCGCTCTGTATCGGCATGCCAGGGAACCTGGTGGAGGGTTAAGATCCTTTGTTAGCTGCAGGGTTTGGGTCTTGAATCTTACTTTGAAACGGGTATCAAGCTTCCCGGTAGCTCTCCTAACCAAGCAGGTTTTTTCTTATCACTGTTTCAGCCCCAAGATGAAATAGAAGTTGAAGATGGGTTTAAACAGTATGATGGTAAGTCTTTGCTATGGCATGGTCAGAGTGTAACTCAAAAACTTGGATTAAGTTGATCCTTTACGTGCATGTATTTTGCACTGACTCTGTTACTAGATGACGCTTAATTACTGCTTAATGATAGTTGTCTGTTTTGTCTTAGTGATTAGTGCATTGGACATGGAAGCTATGATGAGTACCATAAACGCTTGGATAAAAAACCCAGTCAAGTTTGAACGTTCTCATGGGATCAACAACACACTGGATGCCCAGATCATACAGGATAAGGAGGGAGGAGATGAAACAATCCACATTCTTATTGTTGAAGGCTTCCTACTTTACACCTACAGGTAATCAAGTGTGACTTTATATATTACAATTTTACATGACGGGCAAACCTCCAAGGGAATAAAAAGACCTGTTCTGACACCAAGAGTTAGTAGCTAGCATCAGCTGCTGCTGAGCTTAGGTATCAAGGTCGGAAGATCGTGGTAGGTACAGGACAAGGATGTAGTTTCACCTTTCCCTTTCTTGCTGCTAAAAACAGTCCAGCTGTAACCAAACGTGTATCTTTTTCAGGCCACTGATTGATGTATTCCACCATCGATACTTTCTTTCCATTCCATATGAAGAGTGCAAAAGGAGAAGAAGGTCAGTTTATTTTTCTAATTTCCCTTGCTAGCCCAGTAATGTCTTACTCAGTTCAAGACTGTTTTTCTACAGCTTTTAGATACGAACGGACAAATGCTAACGTAGCTGTTGTGCTAGGAGACTGTAGCTTCCTGCACCAAACCAACCTCAGAGCTTCCTACCAAACTGTTGTGAGGCCAACACCCAGCTTCAGCACAGATCCCTCAACAGGCTTCCTCCCCTTCTGGTTTTCCAATGATACGGTTCCCAGGTCTTGAACTATCCTGGGGTTTTGCACTGGGCTGTATTGTTGTACCCATGCCCTCTTCTTAATGCAAATGAAGCCTGCCAAACCCGAAACAGTTGCCTTTCAGAAGCATAAACAGCCAGCTATTTTACCCGAGTTCTGCTAAAGCTTTGAGAAGGCCATTCATCAATGTTAAGATCAGTTTGTCTTAAGAATCCTTCTTGTGTCTTGAACACTTTGGACCTGCACATCAAATTACAACTCTTTTAGGGTATCTTTATGCTAAATACTGACTTGATAAGCTCAGAAACTGCATTGGAGGCAACAGGCTCAGGCTAGTGTGTAGAGAAAGAGAATGAACTGTCTGTCCCTTCCCTGAACTGTAATTAGGCTACTCTTGAATAACAATGTCTTAATTTATAGTTCAAGGAATTACACTGTACCAGATCCACCTGGATTGTTTGATGGCCACGTTTGGCCTATGTATGTAAAGCACAGGAAGATAATGGAAGATCTTGGAGTTGACGTGGGTAAGTCTTTAATGACAAAAGCCCCCCTGGGTTGCTCTATGAGGGTGCTTTTCAAACCTGGGAGGTACGTACTGGTTAAGTGCGTGACAGGACTGAAGCAGGGGGGATGGAGTATGTTTCTCTGATACCAGTCAAGTGCACGCTCTTTAAATTAGGATCTGGCAGGCTTACAGAAACATTCAGTTATAACTCCCTTATTTTACTTTCTTAAAGTGCACTTGAATGGGACAAAATCCAAGGAGGAGCTGTTTAATGATGTGTACGGACAGATCCAGAATAAGATCGAAGAATTACTTAAGATGGAGGTACATGGTCATTCTTAAAACTGCAACTCAGAGCAGCCCTTGTAACGGCTATGCTGAAAACCCATGAAACTGTAACTTGAAATATGTTCATGTGTATCTTTCAGAAATGAGCTACTGATAATCATTCTTTTGCGTGAAGATGACTCCTGTTTGCTCTGCGCTGCCTGCCTAAAGTTCCAGCTTCTGTGAAGACTCTCAACTCTAAAATTGACTTTGTTCGTATGGTCATAATTAAAAAGCACTTCCCCCTTGTCTGTCATCTTCCTTTGTGCTTCAGCCTAGTACGTGGCCTCAGATGATCTCAGTCTTCTCCCAAGCTCCAGTCTATCGGGAGTTCTTTTCACTCACTGTGTTCTTAACCTGTGAGAGTAAAACATTATAGCAGAACTGATGTGAAGTGGCACAACTATTCTAGGAGGCTGTACGTGTGTGTATATATACACACACACTGCTTTTGAGTTCTTTCCTTTTATAACCTGCATGAACTCCTATAACCCATGTAATTAGGCAGCAAGTATGCTTCTTAATGAAGAAATTAAGATTGATTTTGCTCTTCAAAAATGAGAGAACAGTAAGAGGTTTTCAGGCCATTTTACTAGCATTGAATTATTCTGTTAAGTCCAGTGCATGCATTGATCTCAGATGCAGACGACTCAGTTTAGAGTCAGGGAGAAAATTTTGTGTATATCCACAGCTTTAAAATGACTGATTGCTCTAGCAGATTTCAGTAGTGGTCTGTAGCTTCATGCAAGGTCAAACTCGCATGTATGTACAGAAGTAGTTTAAGGCCTTGGTTTACAGAGAAGAGCAGTGAAAGAGCAGATGAAGGCTTAATCCCTAGTAGGGGGAAAAGTGAATTTAGGACAAAAGCTTGACTTAAAGAAAAAAAAGAATCAGTCTACTATGTGGTCCCAGGGGGAAGATATGTATTGATCCACGGTGAGACCAGTCGTTTTTCTTCAAAAGGCTCTGACCAACGCTCGGAACCAGCAGTCACTTCAAGCCCAGATGCATTAGCTTCCTGACAGGAGCCGGTCCTCCCCAGTAGCCCCTAGAAAGGGAGAAAGTTGTTTCATCAAGTTTTATGTATATACTACCAAAGGGGGGGTGGGGGGGGGGGTTTTTGTTTCACTCCCATAAGATACCATACTTGCTAAGAGATGAGGGTTAGGGGTTTGTTTTGGAGAATCTCTGCTTCAGTGAGGTTTTCAGTCAGGCAAGGGCTGCCCTTCTGTGTGATTCAACCCTGTTCTGCTTGAACAAACCCCTCCTAATAGCGCCCGGAATCCTCGGAACGTCGAGGCCCTAGTCATGACTAAGGATGCACTTAATTCGTTTCTATTGTCATAAGGATCTAAGCCAGACCAGGTATCGACCTGGCTTGTTTCTGAATGGTCACAGCAATTCTGCCTGCTCGGAATTGAAATACTCACTTCAGCAGCGCGTTCCAATAGAGAAAAGGCATCATATCAGCTTTCATATGGTACATGGTTACTCTCTCCTTACTCTGGTCAATGGGAAAGGTCTCCAAAGGCTGAGCATTGTAGTCAAATTCTGCTAGAATCACCTTGTTGTAGCCTGTTACTAGCGGGCAGGAAGTATATCCATCATACTGCAATGAAGAATATCCCCTTTTCATTAATCTGAGTAAAGACTAAACGCTGAGCTATTGCAAGCTATATATTGTTTATATTCATATTTCAAAGTAAGTTACTAGGAGGTTGCTGCAGTTACAGCGTTAACACCAGGGAGTTCAGAAGGCTGCTAAGACAATTACGGTTTAATAACTAACACTAAGCCATTTTTTTCTTCAAGTGTAGACTGTAGATTTGCTTAACACCACTGCTTAAATTAGAGCTAACCTAGAACAACAGGGCTTTGTGTCATTAACTGCTGGTCATTATTGTAACCAGGAGAATAGGTGACCAGTAGATGAGGATGAAAACTGGCTTTAACAGACGGTATCTAAACAGGATTTTGAATCTACTTGCAAGAATTTCCAGAGGATTGCAGGAGTATGGGTGATGATATTCAGGTTAGCACACCAAGGAATATTCATTCAGAAGCCATGTGTAAAATGAAAGCCCAGTCTCAAAAAGAAATTTAAACATAGTTATAGGCTTAACATCTTCTGTAGTACAAAGCCTTCAATTTAACTCCTTAAAAGACCATGTTCTGTACAGGGGAGGCAAGTTTAACACTGTACAGACGTGTCAAGTTTGTGGGGGCTTTCCTGGAGTAGAGATTACACTAGTCATCAGTTTTGCTCTCAATCAGTCACCTGCATCGGTGAAGAACCCAGACCAACTGGCCTTTAAACTTCTTTGACCTCAGAAGTCAGGGAATTAGATAATGTTTTTAAAGGCACTATCAAGAATATGAATCGTGCAACTGAATTACTACCCTGACGTGCAGCAGTTAGCCATTCAGCACCCCAACTGCTGATGCAAAGCCCTTCCTGCTTTCCGGTTCACATGGCTTAGCTGCTTGCAAGACTTCCTGTGTAAGAATGGAGAAAACATTCAAGGTAACTCCTCCCCAGGACAAGGTCTGTAGGTACCTTTTTTGTTGGCAACTGGTTCTTCATTACCAGGGAAATCGTTTTATCAAGCACTCCAGACTGGGCAGCTACATAAAGAAAAAAAAACCAAAACGTGTATCAGGGCTTTGTTTCAGGCAGCAATTACTGTCATTACAAGAGGAAATACTAGTAGCCAGGCATTTTGTTGGATAATTCAGCTGTAATTGAACTTACATGTCAAACCAGTTTGGAAAGTTTACAGTCCCAGATAAGAGAAAAAAACCCAACAACAACATTTGGAATAATGCTTTGGCCCCACTGTTTCCAACATCTAAAGCTTCATGAAACTTCAGCTGTATGTTTTTAACCTATGCCCATTCTCCTATGCTCAATTAGACTTGCTCAGTCTTCCCAAAACCTGAAGTTTTTCTTCATTCTTAGTGCTCCAAGGGAAGTATTCCATTTGCTCTGGAATAGCTGACAATACCATTCTTCAGGTTACACCAATAACACCCTGTATAGCCTTTCTATTCCCCCCTACCTTGCTGGTTTTTTTTTTTTTTTTCAGCTGTAAAACCACATGTCTGAAGGGGTTTTATATCGGACCCTGTGGCTACAACTACAGAACACATGATTCTTCAATAGTGACTTATCGGTTAGCTGACACACATGCATGAGCTGCTAAGATAGAGCAGAAAGTTTTGTTCCTGGATGATGACGGAATGCAGGAGCAGTACCCTCATTTTATGCCGTACCGTGAATACAGAAAATGGAATTAGTTACTCTGTGTGGCCCTGGGGACAAGAGAACTGTGGGTTAGTGGCATCAGCGTGGTCTGTGGCTAATTAGTTGGCCCAGGAGACTCAGATATTTTTGAAAGCTGGAAATAATGGAAGTCAAGAGCTCAGGAGTAACAAACTAAACAAAAAGCTTACTGTCACTCCCACACTTGTCATTACACACACACAACTTTACCTACAGCTGCAGCAGTTTTCGACGTTGGAAGGTTGGTGCAGTCTCCAATACCAAATACATTAGGGTACTTTTTGTGTTGTAGAGTTTCCTTATCTACGTCCACCCAGCCAATTCCATCTGACACAGGGCTGTTGATGAGTACATCAGGTGGCCCCATTGGGGGTGTGACATGAAGCATTTCATACTAAACAGAAAGAAAAGGCACTCAACGGCTAGTTCATCAGAGTAAGTCATACCTGTGTTGACATAAGGCAACAAACGCAGTGTGGAGAGGGGTTTTCTTGGTTGGTTTGGTGGTGTTTTGTTGGGTTTTGGGATTTTTTTTTAAGCACAAGTATATAGAATGAAAATTTGCTCTCAAATTTGAAGCGCATCCTTTTATTAACATGAACCTTAGCAGGCAACTCCTTTAGAGGCAATTTGCCTTCCTCCATATAGAGCTGAGACATTCCCCAGTTATGCTAAACAAGGCACACAGGACACCAGGCACGGTTTTTGAAATATTTTTTTCTTCTCCCCACCTTAGTTTCAAACTTTTTAATTTTCTGCTAAAGTTAGAGATAGTACTCTCAGGAGCAAACAGCAGTATACAACGAAGCAGTCGCTATGTTACTGTAGCGTGGCAGTTATGTCACAGTACACAAGGAAAAGAAAGAGGTCTGAAAGCTCCTGACCTGATGAACTTCAGTCACTCCGGGTTTGTCCAAGTTTTCAAACACAGCTTCCTGCTTGTCTGCTCGAACTTCTACAAGGTTGCGCTTATAGTTGACAGCAATATTCCTCTCCTTTATTATTTCAAGCAATGCATCAGCATACTTCTTAACACCAAAAACGACACCAAGCGAAGTGTTGAACATTATATTTGCTTTGGAACGTTTTCCTGTCTGCACAGAGAGACCAAATTAGCCTTTTCCAGTACGGAACTGTGGCAAGCTAGCAGAGACAAAAGAACTACGCTGTACTACTGAAAGGCCAATAGAACTATTAATGCAGTTCAATTATTAATGAAGCATTAACATTAGAATTCTTGAGATACAGCTATTTCATAGCATGTCAGAAGCTAAACAAGACAATCTTTGCCCTTTCTGAGTCAGGTACTGAGGACACCCCACAGCAATTGCTAGTGAGAAGAGGTGGCCACAATTCGCTGAGGAACTGCTGTAGGCAGGGTAAGCACAAGCAGCAGCTTAGCGTTACGCAGCTTTGTGAAACCTTCACTTCCACACGTTATTCAGCTACTCGCCCAGGAGACACCTCATGAAACTTAAAACACATACAAAGCCTGACACTGCCACTTGGAGTCATCTTTTGTTTCCACTGAGCTTGCTTTAACAGCCTGGCTACAACTCCTCCTGATGCCGAGACAGTGTGCCACAAGGAGCAAGCATAGTCACTTTTCAGACTAGCAGAAATTCAAATGGCAACAGGCGTTAAGTACTCAGAGTAACAAGAATTACTCAATTCCAGCCAGTGTTCTTTCAGTGCACCACCTGAGGTTATAAATTAGGCTGAGAACAGTTGTACCTGCAGGTTAGCAGAAGCAGGGTAAGTTCATTATGGATTCTGAATTCTACAACTTTCTCCAGTATTAAACAGACACTAAATATTTATGTACAATTCAGCTTCATTTATTATACATTAATAATAGAAAAAGCAACTCAGTCACTTTAATA